TAATAGTAAAACATAAGTATCCCATTGTATGACTGAATATTTTTTCAAATTTCCTTTACATTTTCATCTAAATAAGAAGTGATTGTTTGTCCTACATTAGAATATTGTTTAAGCATTATGAGTCAAAGGGCGTGGGGTTACTGAGAAGCATATGCGGGTATTGCGGGTGATGTCATTATTGTAAACTAAAACCTTTTATTAGAGTACGCCCCAACTATTCATAGCTGTTTAGATGCACTAATAAATAGGGAAAACCAAAATATCTTACATGACGAGTATTTTTTTCCTGTCTACCATCTTGAAACGCTTGGATGCTTTCAAATATTGTTAACAAGAACGTAACATAAGTTTATATTCGAAAAATAACATTAGAAATGTACTTTCCTCAAACTTGTTTTATTGTAACCCTAATTTTTCAGTCTATCACTAGCACCTGTGATACTCGCTATTAATTAGTTTCACTTTCAAAAATAAAAGCAACAGTTGCTTCACAAACCTGTAGTTACACATAACATGACTGGAAACATTGTTGCCGGTGCGTGGGCGCAGATCAGGTTCGCCGCTCCAGAGATTTAGTTAATTAAAAATTCATTACGATCTCATTGTTTGCAAATCGGAGCTCATCCTCCTTACGGATGGGGCAGGATGTCGTTGTTCTTAGGGCTTATTCCCTCAGAGACATCCTGTTTTTTGTAGGATCCCGTTTAGTAGTAGGTAATACGTTTGCAGTGTCCCGCAAAAAACCGATCCGTACGAATTTGTAATTTTAATTTCAAACACACATGTGTGTTAATACGACAGTCCACGTTTGCGGTACCCTGCATTACTGGATCACTTAACTAATTAAAAATTCGTTAAGATCTCATTGTTTGCAAATCGGGTCTCATCCTCCTTGCGAATGGGGCAGGATGTCGTTTTGATCTCAAACTCAAGCTGTGTCCACCTGCATTAATGAAAGCTAATGAGAGATTTTACTTCTTCCAAGAACGTTTAAAAGATGTTGCGTTCATCAAGCCACAATTAAGACTAATTATTAAGTTTACAAGTAACGCAGGGGTCGAAGTAAATAACTCTTTTGAAATACCTATAAGTAACTTACTTTAAATCACTTAAATATAGGAATGTTCCTTTTAAGTAAACTTTATTTTCCTTTACGTAATATGTTTGAGAAAGAATAAAAGCAATAGATCATTACATATTTCAAAACACGAACTGTATATTTATTTAATCCGACACATGTATTTTCTTTAAAGAGTTAATAAATACGTTGCACTACGATCACAAAAGCCTCGAGCGTTCAAATAAAACGAAGATTCATCTCTGAAGCGTTGTTTATTTTGAACGCTCTTTATTTATGTTAAAACTGGTTACACAGCTAAATCGCTGAGTACTAGATGTCGCAAGAAGCTGCATTCTGTGGGCGCTCGCACCTCACCACCCACACCCCAGAACCTTATTATTGCAGTTCTACTCTTTCCTTTTACCGTCCCTAGCCCTGTCTCTATCACCCGCGCACTGAGTGAGTGAGAGGGTGGAATTGTGTCGATTAGTCAGATAGGAATAATCGTCAACATCTCCTCTATTACGAGTACTCCCACGCTGGTGCGTATGCGCAAACCGCTCGGATTAAAGGTTTATTGGCCTTTGACTAGACCCACCGCAGATAATGCAAGATTTGAAGACTAATGTGGTCCACCATTATTATCATAATCTTCCAAATTTATAAATCATCTGGGATTAAAATAAAGTGATCCATTAGTAGCTTTTTTAAACTACGATTCATATTCCAAATTAAAAAGGTCGACATTCTTATTTAGTACCATTTTATGTTCTTGCATCGTGTATTTACCACTGCTAAGTACTTATGACCACATCATGATTTTTTCGACCTAAAATGAGTCAACAAATAAGACGATATTTTTATTTTACACTAATTTACTCCTAAAACAAAGTCAAAAGCGTTACAGGAAATAACTAGTCATTATTTGTAAAAACTAACATTGCATTTTGCATCACAAATATGTACTCGTTTGTCTGAACTGGCTTAGTTACTAATTATAAGAATACTTTATATGGAACGCATTGTAAATTATTATTGCAATATATTCTAGAACGTGGCGCATAATTATCAAATGATAATATCGCATTGCTGATGAGATTAAACTATCGTTAGAGCATTTAATTAAAATAAAGTTTATTTATGGTCTCTATCTACATAGGTACTACAAAGGACGTACAAAATACTGACAACAATTTAAATACTAAAGGGATTAGATTAAACCATTTATGTATATATCTATTTCACCAAACAATGCAAAACTAACCAAATCTTGACACACACTGCTCTATATAAAAATCGTGATCTAAAACCGGTACGTCGATGAAACGATAAGAGAAATTCCGTGCCTCTCAATTTCCAATCTCGGCCCACTGTGCATTTTCTAACTACACTCGAGTCCGTGTGGCCTTCATCCACGGGCAGCATCACAATGCACTCTAATGAACTCCGTCACGCTTATAATTATACTCCCATGTACGGTTAGCGCCATGCTCTTAGAATCGTCATCCTGTGGCAATCCCGAACGATTAAAAAAAACAAAATAAATGAATTAGCGATGAAAATCTACAGTTTGTAAATAAACGTTATGTCGGCTGTTCTTCATTGGCTTATATCTAATGCTAAATATATTTATATGGGTTATTCCTCGATGAATCTTACTTTTAGATAATTAATTACTAATTCCATATCACTACCTTCCTCAAACGTTTTTCTTAGTATGCGATTCTATAATAATTAAGCGGAGAACTTTATCGTAGATTTTCACATAAAAATGACGCATGGAGATGAATCTAAAAGTCCACCGTAGATACTTTTATAAGGAAGTAATTTTTGTGATTTCCTAAAAAAACATAAATTATACTATTCAAATATCAAAGTAAAACTTGAATAAAAAACAATTTTAATACTGAACTCGCTTACAGTGCTGTAAACAGTAATCGCGCTAACAAAGGAGCTACGCTATGACGTTCATTAAGTGCTTGTGGTCAAGCTATCATAATGCACAACAAAGGGCCTTATTATTAGCAATCATTAAGGCAGGTATGGCATCTTGCTAGTGTCCGCCTTAACCCTTGCTACGCGTAGGGCCTAACAGATCCATTCAATATTAAACTATTGCTTGAATGTGACACCCGATAGTATACGGTCATCTTCACATGTGCCACGTACCTATTTTTGTTTCTTTTCTTTGTTATCTAATAATCTTTTACTATTTTAGTCAATTTCGAGAAACATAGATTTCAATTCACATAAACAGAAATACTAGCACTTATTTTGAACCGACTTAAACGAAAATAGTGTTTTAGAGGTGGCGCAAAACAGACCGAAATGGAGACTCTTATTGTCAGAAGCCTTGGCTTAATCCAAGACTCACTTTGGGTCACTGCACCAGCCACCATCTTAGTTAGTTAATTTAGTTTATCAGGTCTCAACAGACCCAGTAAGCAAGCCAAGGGTTAAGCAAGTTACCAACAGTGGACATTAATCCACGTCTCCACACCGGCGCCACTGAGACATTTACACGGAATTATAATACCGACATGGAAAAGACAAGTGTGCTACGCCTAATTAGCGAGTAATGGTATGTCACAAAGGCTATTACTAGGTGTTGAGATTACCGGCGATTAATCATTTTAAACGTTGTTATAGCACTAGATGTAGAGCGATATAAAAATAAATTGCAATAACCACCATACTATGATATGATACACATAATTTTCCTATACAATGTATTTTGTTTCTGGAATAAATAAATGAAATGTACAAAAAAATAAAAAATGAAATACATGCACAGGTAGTTACCTAATGAATTATAAGTTCTGTCTCCAATATAAATACAAACATTTATTTGTTTACTTATTTGGAAACTCAACAGCTTTGATTTGATTTGAACAGTCGATAATTTACATGGTACAGAGTTACTAATATAAGTACCATAATTACAATTTTCAAAGAAACCAGTCGAAGTTACTTGCACAATAAAACAAACCTTGTATCTGTTACAACTGTCATGAAACCTACGGTTAGAAAAATAAGGCATCACTAATGAAACCGTGAAAACTGTAAACAAATGTCAATGACAAATCGCAGGATAATTTACTACGCTCTATTTCTTTGGTAAATCTCGCCCTTGCCGCATCTAGCTGGGCTGATTGTGCGTCATTGTAAAATTGTTTTAACCGGCGTCAATCTGTGCAACGTTTGCTTGGTAATTTGTGTAATTTTACGCCAAGCTAGGTCTTGCGAGGAATTATGGTTAATGTTAGGTATACTTAAGCTACTTGGCAACTGCTGGCGCCAACTGTCAAGGATTCTCACATAATATGTAAAACCCCTCTGCAGTTTGTTGCCTATGCCTATACCCAAATTTATGCACAATAAATTATTTGATTATATTGAATTCCCTTATGATCCACAACTTATTATTTGAATCTAAATCAGTGTTAGGTAACATAAAAAATTGAGCAAAAATTAGTCACCAACGAGTATAGACACAATGATTACCTATTTGGAAAATGCAATTAAATCAAATAATATCTTTAAGTTGACTTAAACCGTACCTTCAATTAGATTTGTAAGTTTGGTGTAGTGGTTCGAAACGGACTACTATTCCGGAGGTTGCGGGTTCGATTCCCGCACAGTACAAACATTTGTGTGCGTGAACATATTTGTTTGTATTGGACTGGGTGTTTTCTATGTATAATAGGTATGTATGTATTTACAAAAAAAAAGCATTTAAGTATATTTATATCTGTTGCCTAGTACCCATAGTACAAGCTTTGCTTAGTTTGGGACTAGAAGCGCAGTGTAAAATGTCCAAGGATATTTATTATTATTATTTATTAACTCTTTTAACACAAAATATCCCCCATCAAGAACCACCATCAACCCTTTATTCCTAAAACAATAGCAAGTACTTATCTAAACTTATCTTTTGCAGCACGAGGTCCACTGCTCCGCTCGCCTCAACGACAACTGGTGTCCCGGCCATACCGAGGCGCTGCCCACCATCCCGGAAGAGACCATGGACGGCGCTACCATTACGCCCAACTACAGAGCCCTCACTATCAAGGTCAACAAGCCCAGCACTCGGATACCCTTCATCTACAGCTATCCAAACAATAGCCACCCCAAAGTGAGTACTTGACCCTACATATTATTATAATGTGACACTAAAACGGGATCATAAAAGAAGATTTACACACCGTGAGGCTGTTTCGTCAGACATCAAACAAAAATACTAACATTGGCTTTTTAAAAAATCATTGACTTTTATGACCTACGGATATACGGCAGTCCTTGATCGCATGATGGTCCTGATGGACTCTACAATTAGGAATAAAATATAATAATTATACTCGTAGCGTAGGTCCTTAATTATTTTTTGCTGTCTCTTCCATCTGATTCATTTCACCCATATTTCTGGGATAAGATCTTCAGTAACTCTGGGTAATTTTATTGTTAATGACAGATAGTATAAGCAAAGATTAAATCTAAAATTAACAATCCTGGCACTGTAAGTACTTGTAAGTAGCTCTTATTCATCGATTCCGTCTGATAACTGGCAAATGCTGATTGCGTACCTGAGCTGCAGGATAATGCATACTAAGCGCCAAGCAAAAACGACCAATAGAAAGAAAGAGCTGGAGATTCCAGTTATGAAAAAAAGTCGAAGGCTAACTCGATTTTTATACGTTTAAGTATGATTCATGTACGGATCGAAGGGTAAACGACCCTACGAGTTCGAACTCGTACGAGTACTTTGTTACATTTTACTTAGAAATCAGCACAATCGATGTGTTGTCGGGCAGATTATATCCTCTGCACATAATACAATATTAAAATTTCTGAGTATCTACCTACACCAATTCTGACGTCTAAAAATACATAAAGTACACGAATTCCATTCTGTCGTCTAAACATAAACGAGCTTGTTTTGTCATAATAGCTATAATTATACATGACAGTTATGTGGCTTAAACAATTATATCATCCATTCCAACAAGCATTAGAAGAACAATAGCTAAAATTCTACAAACTCGTACCACAGCTCGTACGCTGATGATATTTTAATTGCATCGCGGTTAATGTAAATCTTTTGTCCTCAGGTCGACATCACCGTTATCAACTCGACGCAGTCCACGAATTTTGAAATTATAGAGAGGAACACCGATCATTGTATCCATGAGAAGTGTACTACCCACGTCTCGATAAAAACGGAGCCCGATTTTTGTTCGGCGAACAGTGGGAAGTACGAGTTTCTGAACGTGAAGGTCAAGGTAGAGAATGTGACTGGGGAAGCCAGGATAAAATACCACGTACCCTGCGCGTGTAAGTGTTCAGACAATGCGGAGAAAGACTCGAAAATCTGTGGCGGGAAGGGTGATTACGCGTGCGGCGTCTGCAAGTGCCATAAAGGATGGTAAGTCCCGATTAGTGATACTGAGGCTGGATTGCACCATTTTACTTCTTCTTCTTCATTTGTTGATGGCGATGGACTTGTGTTTTATCGCCACTGGGGGCACACTGTTCCGCCAATGTCACGTGAAAACAGTAACTATAACATTAACCGGTGTTTTTGACAGAATTTTGACGTTTGTTAAAGTCAAAGTAAGATGGTGCAACTCAGCCTAAGTTTAATATGCATAAACAATTAAGTCAGTAGTTCAGTAACACCTTAATTTAAATACAATTAAGACTTGAACTAGATCTAATTTCCTTTTATTACTCAGCAAAAATAAGTCTCGATTTTTGTGTAAAGAAGCAGATAACTTACAGACTGATTGCTTTAACTTATAAGCTTTCTGTTCCTAAGAGCACCGAGTCACAGTTGCATGTTTTATTAATTAGACACTCAAGAGGCTTCATAAATAAATACCGATGAGAAACGTCGTGTTTTTCCATTGGCTCAACTACTAACCCAGTAAAGAGCCATTAGTAGCTAGTCGATGCAAGCGCAGAACAAAAACAGCTCTGTACAGTCGGCCTCAATCAAGAAGCCTTTTCTCTTAATGGCCGTCATATTAAAAACGCCAATTCAATGACAGATGCGATTCATCTGTTTCTAGAGAAAGCTTGGACCCATATTACAGAACGTTACTCGATTTTATGGCAAATTATTGGATAAAAACAGACGAATTTTTTACGAGTGCTTTGAAAAACCTATTGATTACTCAAGTTTTTTTTACTAATTTACTACAATTTAGAAATTGCTGCTTAATTTGTGTCAAAACTGGCAATAGAACATCGTCGTTATTTGCTTTGTTGAAATCTTGTAAAAAGAGATTCGCGCATGATTGGGTAGAGTTTTGTAATACGGGTCTTGGATCTAACTTTACAAATGGCTTTTTGTAGATAACGTTCCAATAGTGTCATGTTCCGCTACTTTAAATGTTCAAAGATGATTAAACAATTTGTGAACTCATTTAAGACCATTAATTTGTCAGTTTTGTTTCTTGGACCTAATAACGATGTTCACAGACTTTCAATCCATTATTTGTATGATACATTCATAAATTAATGTATAAACTTGTGACTTATCGGGTTTAAATTCACCGCTATAAACTACGAAACGTGACTTGAAATTAAAACAATGTTATGCCAAAAGTTACGAGTATCGCAGGGCAGCGGATATTATGATGTATTATTAGATGGTAATCGGTCTCGTATAGAGCAGGAAATCCTTGCTTTATTAGTTGCCTGTTGTGATATTGATCGTCCTAATTATGATAAGTGGACCTAATAAACCTTTTCAAGAATACCCGTGCGTAATTGGACATTCATGAGACGCAATACGAATTGAAAACTTACCTACCTACACATTTTTCATAGATTAAAATTTAATTATATTTTTCACAGGTCCGGCAAATACTGCGATGTCCCACCAGTATGCGACAATCGGCGAGGAGATCTACAGTGCACCAATTCTTACAGTGACGTAAGTTTTAATCCTCATACAAAATAAAACAAAACACTATGAATCAAACACGTTGTCATGCCAAACTAAACTGTATCTCTACCAGGTGGAATGCTCAGGCAACGGCTACTGCGGCCCTTGCGACGCCTGCATCTGTTTCGACGACCGGGAGGGCTCACAGTACTTCCAAAAAGACAACGCCTGCGCTGATCTCTGCATGATCATCAACTATAATTACGAGCTGTGCCTCCATGACAAGCCTGAGGGGAAATGCCAAGACCATTTGAACATAGACCCTTACAACAAGACGCGTGCATCAGAAACGGATGAGATGAACCGGAAAGTCTGGGTACAGTGCCAAGATCTGCTTGACGGCTGCAACATCAAGTACCTGGCTATGAGGGACGCTAACGATGAACTACACGTGATGAAGATCAACTCCTGCAATGGCGTTCAGGACTCATTCGTCACTGGAAATGTCAACAGTGAGTACCTGTACCAAACTTTTGCGTTCCGTTTTAACATTGGTTTGGTATTCTCAGGGTCACAAACCCACCATTTCAACGATCTCTATTAGTTTCATTTACAAAAACTTAGTCTCAAAATGATTGAGCATAAACGCTATAGGTAATATTGCTATTGCGATGAACATCCAAATCAAAAATGTAAACTAAGTTTACACAGATGGCTTCGGTCTATTTGTGTGACATTCGCTACATACACGTAACCGCTCTCCATCTGCTCGAAGTTTGTTTGTTTTTATTCTAAGCAAATATGGCTCCTTTCTACTGTATCGTGCAGCAAAAGTTCTGTTCGTCATGTATTCTGAGGTCATCTTAACTCATGTTTTCAATCGAACGACGACAAGCCAAAGGCGGTGCGTCACCGAGTCGTGTGCTTCGTCGCTTACCGCAAATTATCTATCATAAATATTAACATAGTACTTTTTACTTCACTCACAGAACCGATTATCTCCACCTTGATGCCACACATAGTTAAAACTTATGTGCTACCTACCTACCTCAAAAACATTCCATGATTGTAACAAAAAATATCTCATATTGACCCGGTGAAGTCCACCTTTGACTGAAAAGCTCAGCCGGTAGGTACTGTCTTGTACAAACAGTACAATCCGTAGTTAGCTTAACCAATAGGTACTCAAATCGCATCGATTAGCATCAGTAAAGTTAGTTTTATCCCAATTTATGACGATGAATTTACAATATGGTTGTTAAATAGTAATAATAATTCCACAGTAACTCTACCAACCGTGCTGGGAGTGATTGCCATCGTAGCTGCGGCGACAGCGGTGGCGGGCTACATGGTGTGGAAGGCCAAGAACGCGCCGGTTCCTTTGGCTGCTTCTCATTACCAAGAGCTGGAGGGTCCTGAGAACAGCGCCGGAATCAACCCCTTGTACAAAGCACCCACCTCGTCTTACAACAATCCGTTGTGGAAGGGCGCCGCCAAAGTCTAGTCCTGGTAAGTTTAAAATGAACCTTATTTCATAGCACTTATGATTTATTGTGTGAGAAATGTGTGGTAGAGTAATGTTTTGAAACAAAGATATAAGTGAATCGAAACAATTAACACAGATGTTTTGGTGTAAGACGTGACCGTGACTTAACCCCTGTAGATAACAATAATTGATGAGCTACTGTTTAGAATTAAGATAATAATATAGACAATATAAAAATTAGGTCTGATATCATAAAGTTCCACATTTTGCACATAAGAGTTCCTGCGTAAAGTTCCGTAAACATTAAATGCGAAACAAGACGAGCTTTCATACAAGATTGCGTCCATATCTCCAATGAAACGCATAGTTGATTTATGGGTTTGTGATAGTTGTCGTTCTTTATCATATTCCTCGCCTCAACCGGTCCAATTCACACAAAAACTTAACCGGTCTGACAGGCCACGCTTATAGTTTTTTATTAATATATTTTATGGCGCATTTAATTGAGATTATATCAGGAAAAAGAGGAAACAAAAGAAATTCCCTCTTAATAAGTCAAAATAATTTATTTCCTCGCGTTATCGAGTTCACTCGATCTCAGGGCGGTGGTCGTATCGCAAGATAACCTTGCAGTTTTATACTGGTCAGTTATACACTTATATAGCGATAATGTCAGCCCGTTCACTATTTACAGTTAACTTTTCTCCTTAACACATAATAACCGCAGTGTTCGTCTGTCTATTTTATTGTTTATGAGTCTTCAGAGACGACTTTAAAGACTGAGAACAATAATATAATAACTTATTACGTTACTTAGCTGTGTAATAATACTAGCTTAACTTGCTATGTAGAGTCATTTAAACAGTTTTAGTTAGATTGTGTGAAAAGAACTCAATGGAAATGGAGCATTGTGAGAGTAAGTTGATTTACTGGCGAATTTTAATTGTATACTACATTACCTACTACATATTATAAAAGTAAGTCTCCATTAATCGCAACAAAGTAACAGCCTAAAGCTATGCCGGAATTGCAAAATTAACTGCAGCCAAGGTAAAATGGCACAGCAAATGTTTCAGAGAAATATTATGTACTTATTGAATCACAACTTGGATATTTTGTTCTTTCCTTCGAACTCCTATTACTTATCCTCTCGTTCATAATACAGAATAGTGTCCCGAAAGGTTAACTAAAAGATTAGGATCTGCTAAGTGATTGGTAGGTAGAAAGTAATTGAAAAATAAATTTTTGGTCCTAAATTATTAAGACTGCTAATTTTTTTTCCAAGAAATTTATATAACACATTCTTCCAAAATATGATCTCTCCATTGCAACTCCATCGAACAGTTATAGATAGACTGTATCAGAATTGCTATTATCGTACATTATCCTTTGAGGCACACCTAATGAGGTCACAAGTAAGTGGTCAGGGTACATCGATTGGATGGACAATGATTTGCCATTGACACAAATTGAATTAATATAAGTGCTACTCGTATTATAGCCAAAGTAAGTGAACTTAATCATGCCCGAAAAGATATTAATTTCGACCTACAGTAAAATCTATCAAGTGCTAAACAAGTAAATGAGTACTGCTGAACATAAAACTCATTACTAGGTAATCATCTGCTAATTATCCGAGATGATTATAAAAAGACGATAAGACGCATTATCATGCGATTTAATCTTATTAAACAGATGTTATCTTTACCGTCTCCGAGGCTGTAAAATGTTCGCCTATTTACAAAATCTACAACGAAAAACAAATTTTGCAAAATCAGAAGAGGCCTGGCGTTCATTAAATTACATTTTCCGTCTATTCTTTGTTTTCTTTGGTCACTTTTATGAACTTAAATGCCCCTTTTTCAAAATTCATTTGAATCTGCATCTAATAAATTGAAACTCTTGAAGAATCTCTTAGGGTTCGGACAAACCAACGCGATCACAGCGCGATCAACCGGCGTGCAGCGATGGCGATCAATGCATTTAGGTCTGGTCGCCATCGCTGCACGCCGGCTGATCGCGCTGTGATCGCGTTGGTTTGTCCGAACCTTTAGTAGAGCTAAGTTTTTAATGCAAGGGATTTTATTGAACAAATCTCCGGAAAAAATCAAATTGGTTAAAGAAAACATTTTAATACAATATTAAATGTTCTTTTAATTGCCCTTTGACCGAAAATGATTAATGTCGCAGACGCAAAGATAGCAAGTTACGTGTAAATCAATTTATAAAGCATTATAAATCAATTGACCGCATGTGACGCTAATATTATGCTGATAAAACATGTACCTATAGGAAGTAGGTGTTGGTAATAAATCATGAAATGTAGTAAACTTAGTGTAACGTAATAAACAGTTGTAAAAAGTAACTAGTTAATATTAGAATATAGTCTAAAATGCGAATAAATCACACGTATCAATAGTTTACATACATCCTGTATAAAGATAATGCCCCACAATAGTATCTATGTATAGAGAATCCATTGCCTAACTGAAGGATTCCGAGGCTACTATTGCGAAGTATTGAATAATGATGTTAAGACGCGTTGTAAGTGTAGTTAGTACCAAGGTGATTGATAATGCTGCAAGTTAGGTAATACGTTAGCTTAGGCCTTAGGCCTTAGGGTATACATTTTAGTGCAATAAATCACTTCAAAGTAAAGAAAAAAATCAGGCCTGTATTTTTTTCAAAACGCACATCTTACAACGCTATTGACGATAAGATATTCATCTGATTTTCACTCGTGAAAACTCGATTCTGATAATGTGTTCTATTTCACTATGTTAATCTCTACATTAAGGCCCTTTATCTACACTAATATTATAAAGAGGAAAACTTTGTTTGTTTGTTTGGTTGTAATGAATAGGCTCAAAAACTACTGGACCGTTTTTAAAAATTCTTTTACCATTTGAAAGCTACATTATCCACAAGTAACATAGGCTAAATTTTATTTTGGAAAAAAATAGAGTTCCGTAAAAATATGTAGATAATGTAGTCCACGCGCGCGAAGCCGCGGGCGGAAAGCTAGTAGTTTATACAATGCTTTAACAGCAATATGCTAAGCGATTCGCTCTAGACTAGATGCAGCATCAATATTGTCAAACGCGCGTTTGTATCGCTGCAAAAAGTAGCATCGTTTATAGAGCCTTACGCAAGAATTGTTCCCCTAATAAATGCTCTAAAATATGTACTTTAATTGCTGATGAAATGTCAGATATCAACGCACATTTCCGGAGCCCACACGCTTCGTGAATACGTCTATGTACCTACCTCCTACCTTCTCATCTGTGTTTACGAGCTAAGCTTTCTCCCAAATACAACTCCTAGAATTAATTCCATAAATGATTCACTAAAAGCTCAAAACATTTGTCATAGAAATCGTCACACAGTCATATGAATACCATGACGAAGAGGAAAACTCGAGGTTACGTATTAAAGCCCTTTGTTTACTTCTAATACTTTACCTAGTCGTACCGATAGCTTTAAAAAACTAACCGCATCTTTGGAGCATTTGTATCGTTATAAAGCCATCCATCCAATGGGAGTATAAAGCTGTAGTTATTTTAATAATCTTTATGATTTATGGGGTTTAATTTTTCTTAAGTTTAACGTTCTGTCCACCCTGTCCTGTACCTTACCTACTTAACAGAAACAGTGGCCTTCATACCACTGCACTGTTGCGTCGACCTCTCATGATCACACACTTAATATTTTAGCAGCTTTCGGAAACGGAAATAATATAAATAACTATACTTATTGTAATAATAAGGCTGTCTTCAGATTCAAAAAATAGTTAACTAACAAAAAACCTCCTGCCTCAAAATTGGGAAATCTGCATACCTTTTAGAGAAGGTAAGCTTAATTACATGATTATTTAGCAGATGATGTCCATATTCCTATGACCTAAATACCTAAATATTTTTTTGTTTTTCTATCACTGCGTTATTCAGTTTTCATCAGAGACTTTCAAAAGCATGCTAGTCTGATAGAAGCTTTACTGTAAAGTTTATAGCTCTCAAACGAATCTCAGATTTAATGTTAATCCTAAGCGGATTTTATTTTAATCTACTATTTGTCCCTGGATTATGTTTACTTTACAGCATAAAAATAACGGCTCTTCTATGGGAATTCCTCTATAAGTAATCACGTATAAGTAACATATTATTTAAATCCTGTATAACCTTTTATGCAGAATCTTTATTCCGTGATTCAAACTTGTTGGTAATCATGAACTGCGTCGTAGCAACGGTAAGCAATTTTATAAATTGCAGAATTAGGTTAATCTAATCACGATGCAGGATAGGTTTGACTTAATTTATTGAATAATCTTCTCATATGAAATTACGGTGTTCCACAAATTGGCGAAATTATCGTTGGTTTGACTATCTGTAGAATAAACATCGGTACTTAAAGAGTAGTGTTTACTCGTGGCTCTTATTAGTTCAACAAAATCCTTATACCTACGAGGTTCCATACAAATTATACACACACAAACATTTTTCAGTTGGTGTTTAGATTATAACGAACGTAATGGGTCTATCACTGAGTCACCTACTACATAGGTTCGAACTCAGCCACTAGAACTCTCAATTTTTCCGTTCACTGACATTGGGGTCAAGTCGATATGACGAATAATAAGTCTATATTATTTACCTACTTGCTTGGCATTGTGCTTACTTACTAATATAATAGTAATTACGTGCGTATAATATGTTATTAAGATTAAACTATAATCTTCAATGTTCCTAGTACAGCCATGCGTCTCACTCTCTGTCGAAAATGATATTACTTGAATTTATAATTTTCATATTTATTGCCATATTCTGCAAGGTTTTTACCTGTAGGTGCCAGAAATGTGTTATTTCTTCCTGAAAGAACTTTAATTATATTTTTTATGGCAGATAAAGATAAGAAACTGTGGAAATCCTTGGGGTAGGCCTTTGCCCAGCAGTAGACGGCACTAGCTTGAAAGGAACGAACCTCGACTCTACATTATACGCCTCATAGTTATAGTTACAGTACAATAATGATAAGATCATAGACGAAGTTAAGT